AAAATCAACAATAAAATGAACAGCATGCACTTTACTTGTTTTTCAATATATATATATTCAGAACAAGTTAAAACATATGTACAACAAATTCTTCACACTATAGAGATTATAGGCATATCATAAACACTATATATGTATAGTTCTCTTCTTCTTGTCAAAAGTCCACTTAGGCCTATTCAATTACTTTAAAATTTCAGTCGACATGCTGAACTATCTTCTCTGTTACTAGTATTCTATGTGTGAGTCACTTACAATTGTGGTGCAAGTTACTGTAATTGTTTAGTCTTCTTTCTTCTCAAGATCCTCTGTTTCTTTTGTCAAAGTGCCCTCAGGCTGATTCAATTACTTTAGAACCACGCTTTGACGGAATAAGTTATTCTTTTCTCCTTTTCTACTGTTAGTCTTACTCTTGCATATTAAATGTTAGGCTTATCTCTTCTACATGAATTAACTTCCCGACGAACTTTTCCTTGACCTGTAACTTTATTATTATTATTTAATCTGTTTGCTGTTCCCGCTCATCTCACACTATTTATATGTCTATCATTTGATTGTCTGCCCGCCTCCTATATTCTCAACATCAATGTATTACATGAGACATTTGATAGTCTCAACATCAATGACTTATAAACACAACTTCCTACAGTCATCTGCTTTTAACTCTTATTATAACAAAAACTAAACAGTAATAAACTATTCACTCACAAAAATTATATTAATCAATAATATATAAACTAAACAGTCTTTTATACCATGACACCTAACAAAAAAACTTGCAGGATGAACATCACTTTGAAATACAAGGGTTTCTAGTTGTTTGAAAAGTTCTTTGTTAGGTGAAATTCCAGCAGTAAAACTGAGAAAATATTTTAAAATAATGGTATGTAATTTTGTGGGGAGAACTAGCATGGTAGTGTCACATATGTAATGCTGTGTTTTATCTGTATGGAAGAAATATGGAGATTCTATAACAACTTCAACATATTTTGAGAGATTCGTCAAGTATACAGACAGAGCCCTCAAGTACAGGCAATGGTCTGTGTCCATTACACACTTTTGATTATTTTTTGTGTTTAAATAAAGATTGTTTTAAATTGTGTCCAGTGTCTTACATTCTTCAAACTTAGTCAAAGCTAGAAAATTCAGATTTGCTCTGTGGTATATTTCCTGATCAAACCTTCTATTATTTTGGGGAACCCATAATGTCACATTAGTAATCTCAAATAATATTTAATAGCTATTCCTCTGTTTATAAGCTTGGAATATTTTTGTGTGGGAGAAATGAATTATCAGTTGTGTCACTGCAAATTTCTTTTATTAGGTATTGAACTTGAGGGAACAAGTAGTAAACATCAGAAAGAAAGAGCAAGAAGAGAGAGAGAGGGAAGGTTTAATTGCACAGTTAAATAGCAACTCAAAGGAATTAGAAATGGAAGTTAAGAGGCTCCAAGAAGCTTTACAGGAGAGTCAGAATGAATTGGAGAAAACTTGTCAGCTTTATAATGAAAGAGTTGCTGCTTTAGAAAGGAACAGTTCATCACCAAAAGGTACAATTAACAAAAGCTAAGACTAACAGTAAATATGGGGAGAATCCTTTTGACCTCAAAAGTCTGAGTAATTGATTGATTTTATTCTGTTTATTTTAATATTAGTTTGTCAGTTTATCAAAATATATACATACTAAACAACTAGTTATAAAGTTGAAGTGGTTAAAAAGTCTAACTAACTAAAAATTGATTAGAAATAAAAATAATTTTACAGTGTTATTTTAGTGCAAAACTTCATCATGTTAGCACAGACCAAACTGCAGCTTAAATCCAGATAATTTTCATTAAAATAATAACTAACATGTTCTAACAACAGTTTGGAAACCTAATAAAATCCAACAATGCTTAGCGTGTATTTGCATAACATGTTTATGTAATGAATAAGTTAATTTCCAACAGTACTTTCCACATTTAGAAGTACATATATATATAAAAATAAAAACTCAATTGTCACATTTTTTCATTGTGATGATTTTCTAGAATCCCTTTTTTTACCACATATTTGCTGAACTTCTTTTGTCATTTTATGACCAATTCGGCTTCACCCTTCTTTACCCTGGAGAAGGGTTACATAGAATATTAGTTTTCAGTAGCTGAGTAACAACTTGGTATCAGAGTTAACTTATATAATAAATCATCCCACAAAGGTTTAAAAATTATACTACTTTTCTGTAATTATTTTCTGTAAATATTGGAGAATTGCTGTAGCATGTTGGATCACATGACACCACAGATAATTCTTTTTTTCTTTCTTTTTCATGTATTATATATTATGCCTAGTTTTCAAAAAAGTTTTCCTTTTATTAAGTCATAACAAACAATTGATGTAATTAATTATACTTTAACAAATATTGATATTAAATTGATATTGTTGCTGTTAGTTAAGAACTCTTTCTTTGTTTATCCCTTACAGCTTTTTCTCCTCAGGGTGAATGCATGGGAAAAGTTTTCAGTGATTTGAGAGTTTCTGAATTGGAGTGTGTTCTAGAACAGTTAAGGTCGCAGCTAGAGAGTCAAAAAGAACTTAGCCAATTTTTAGAGGTTAGTGAAGATCTGTATTAACTTGTATATACTTTAGAGGTCCCTATAGAAGCATAAAAAAAATGTGTTCTATCTGATAACTTTGTGGTACTACATCACATTCTTCATGTGGTTTTAAAAACATTTACTTATTTCTTTTGATTTAAAACAATTGTATGTTAAATTCTATCAAGAAAGAATATATGACACTTTTATCTGTATTGATGCTAATAACTTTATGATAAAGAAAAACCAAACATAAATGTTTCCAATCAAACAAATTAAAAAGTATTCACAAATACTGTGAATTTTTTAAAATTCAATTATATATATATATATATTTTTTCCCCTGTGTGTGTGTAAATATGAAATTGGATTGGTGAAGCGAAATATTTACATTTTGAAGCATTCTACTTTTCTTTTTTAATTCTCTATCATGTGACAACATTAATATAAGGAAATATGTCACACCAATTTTTTATCATTGATAAGTTACCTTTGAAATTTGCCATAGATGGCTTAAATCCTCAAAAAAGATGTTTGTTTATGCATAATGTACATTTTAATCATTGTTTAAAGAGTTTTCACAGTTTTGTCTTTATTTACTTGTATGAAATAAATGAAAGCACAAAACATAATAACTCCTCACTGTTGGTAAGTTTTAACAGATCGTAACTAGAACCAAAAAAAGAAAGGAAAGGCAAGTAGTCAAAAAAAGATACCAAGCTTTTTCGATGAGAGAATCACTTCTATGGTCTTTATTTGTCTTTGTTTTGACAAGAGGAAGACCAAGTATTTGTAAACAATTATTAAAAACAGTGAAATTAATGAATGTAAACAAACAATCTATAAACACATTAGTATTAAATGTATGTAAGTGAAATATCAGCGCTACAATCAGTGTGAAAATAATCTAATATAATAAATCATATATGTACTCAAGTAAGACAAAAGATACCAGTGTGAAAATAATCTAATATAATAAATCATATGTGTACTCAAGCAGGACAAAAGAAAGCAGTGTGAAAATAATGTAATATAATAAATCATATATGTACTCAAGCAGGACAAAAGAAACCAGTGTGAAAATAATGTAATATACTTTCAGTATTATAAGTAGCCTAAACGTTATCCTGATTTCTCTCACCATGTGTTATGAACTTCTTAAAAAACTGATGTGTCTCTTTCCTGCTGTTTATAGTTGTTAATACTAAGTTGTCATTTTCATTTGAAGAAATACATAATTAAATATACAGAATTATATTACACAGAACATCTCTCTTGTTTATCATCACACAGAACATCTTGTTTATCATCACACATAACATCTCTCTTGTTTATCATCACACATAACATTTCTCTTGTTTATCATCATAATAACATCTCTTGTTTATCATCACAATAACATCTCTCTTGTTTATCATCACAGTAACATCTCTCTTGTTTTCATCACACATAACATCTCTCTTGTTTATCATCACACAGAACATCTTGTTTATCATCACACAGAACATCTTGTTTATCATCACACAGAACATCTTGTTTATCATCACACAGAACATCTTGTTTATCATCACACATAACATCTCTTGTTTATCATCACACAGAACATCTCTTGTTTATCATCACACAGAACATCTCTCTTGTTTATCATCACACATAACACCTCTTGTTTATCATCACACATAACATCTCTTGTTTATCATCACACATAACATCTCTCTTGTTTATCATCACACATAACATCTCTTGTTTATCATCACACATAACATCTCTTGTTTATCATCACACATAACATCTCTCTTGTTTATCATCACACATAACACTCTCTTGTTTATCATCACACATAACATCTCTCTTGTTTATTATCACACATAACATCTCATGTTTATCATCACACATAACATCTCTCTTGTTTATCATCACACATAACATCTCTCTTGCTACATTTCCCTCCAGTTATATTAAGGTTGATCTTATGTAAGTTATTTTATTTTTGTTAAACTTTTTGCAAGAAAACAAATACTATATTTTTAATCTATATATTTTAGTTTTTGCATGTGTATAGTATAACTATTTACATGTCCATAAACTTATTCATTTCTCTTCAAACTGTTACTGTGGTGTGAATTTTCTGAAATGACTAGTTTATGTCGGTATTGATACACGATTTCAGTACTCAAACTGTTCTGACTTCTTGATGATCATTTTCTTTTATACACACATAGAGAAATACTTAATGGTGGACCCTTACTTATTATATTGTACAACATGAGCAGTTAAATTTATAAATGTCAGTGAATGTATGGTATTGTTCATCTGCATTTAAATAAATGCTTAATTGGAATAAGTGCTTTCAAAAATACATTTTATCAGCTAGATGTATTATCAAATATATAAAAGAACAATGTTAAGAATTGAAAACAAATCTAACATGGCTAATCATCTATCAAAGGTGTGTAGCACCAGTACTAACTCTAGTCATTTCAGTATTGTTTGTAGTCACAGCTTAAAATGATGAATAACTCAGGAATGTGGAATATCTTTTAATAAGCACGTAACTTGTGTGTCTTCAAAAAAGTAAGGAAAACTTGTTCTTTATGATTTATTGATTTAAGAATGTCTTCTTTCAGAGAGAAAAAACAAGTATCAAAATGAAGTTGTTTCATATACAAGAAAAGTTGAAATGTTAGAATCACAGCTCTGCCAATCACTCAATGAAAAAACTGTTGTTGAGAAAGAATTGAGAGAACAACTTGAAATGCTTGCAATAGAAAAAGAAAAAACATTAGAATTACTTCGTAGTACTCAGTATGAACAAAATAAGTTATTAGAAGATCATACAAACTTAGAACAAGAAAAGCAGAAAATTGAAGAAAATGCTAAAAAACTGAGAATGGAAAATAACAATTTAACATTAAACATCCAAGAGCTGGAAATTGAAAAATGTAAAATTGAAACAGATTGCCAGGATAAAGCTGAAAAAATGTCCTGTTTATGGAAAGAACTTGAAAATTTGCAGGCATTGCTTTCATCAGCACAGAAATCAGAAAACTGTCTAAATTCTGAATATCAAGAGCATTTACAGGAATGTCAAAAAGAAAAACTAATATATTGTGAGAAAATAAGTACATTTGAAAGTCAAGTCAATAATCTCACAGTAGAAAAATATGAAATACAGAAAAGATTTCAAAAAAATATTGATGAGCTCTATCAAGAAGTGGAAACAAAGAAGCAGGAGTTGAAAACTATGCAAGTAGATTTTCAAGTTAAAGTTCAACAAATGCAGTGTGTAGAGGCGGAGCTGAACACAAGAATAGATAGCTTAAGTCAAAGAAATGAGGAATCAGAAAATGTGATCACAGAAAAACATAAAGAAATAACACAACTGAAAGAGGAAAAAGAGGGGTATTCCCAAGAAAAACTAAAGTTGGAAATGCAACTCCAAAAAGGTTATGAAAAGCTGAAATCTGAGGAAGAGAAGAGGATGAAGTTAGAGTCTGAAAAGAATGAATTTTTGAACCAACTGAAACAACTGGATGATAAAATCAGTAAGCTTGAGAGCAATGCAGATTGTCTAATTAAAGAAAAGGCTGAGCTGTATCAAGCTTCTGAGAGAAACTTGTGTATAATGAATAAGCTTAAAAACGAGCTTCGGAAAGCAGAAGAGAGAAACTTCTCTTTAACAGAGTGTAAAGCATCCCTGGAAAGGAAGCATGAAGCGCAACTGAAGATCAACATATCTGAGAAAGAACAATTCACAAAAAGGGTATCTCAAGCTGAGAACCAGTGTATCGCTTTAAAGGAGGAAATCATCGGCAAAGAGAAGGTTTGGAAAGAGGAAATGGAAAATCTACAGAAACATTTTGTTAGTCAAGTAAACAAATTGCATTCAGACATTGCTGAGTACACAGAGTTTAATCAACAACTTAAGAACAAGTTAAATGATGTCAGAAAAGAAAACGAGGAAGAAAAAAGAAACTTGTTAAACAAGTTGACCCAGAGTGAAACAAAAGTTGAGAGTGTTAAAAAGGAAAAGGAAGAAACTGTTAATGCCCTTTTTAATAAAACAAAATCTTTAGAAAATGAAAATCAGTTGTTGATAGAAAAAATTAATGAAACTGAAAGAAATTTTCAAAACATGCAGGAATCAAAGAAAACATTAGAGAGTGAGTATTATATGTGTGTTGAGCAGAAAGAACATGACAAAGAATTGTTATCTAAGAATATCAGTGAACTTCTTGAACAAAAGAAAAAAATGGAAGATCAATATCAATCCCAGATCATCCAGTCTAGGAAAGAGATTCAAGTCCTAGTTTCTGAAAAGGAAGAAGAGCACTCAAGTTTTCAATTGGAAAAACAAATATTAAAAAATCAGATTGATGAATTTTTGAGCATTAATGGAACTTTGGAAGTTAAAGCTGATCAATTAGAGAAGGAATTACAGCAGTCTCATGCACAGTTAAAAGAAATAAAGCAGGAACTAGAATACACAAAAGTGATTCACAGTGAAGAAGTTGAAAAATATGATTCTGCACAAAAATTCTTTCAGGGAAAGATTGGAGTGTTAGAAAATGATCTGAACCAAAAGAATGAAAATATAGGCAAATATGTTGAAGAAATTAAGGAAAAAGAAGCATATATATGTGATATTAGAAGGATAATTAAAGATCTTCAAGCAGTAATCAAAGAAACCAAAAATATTGCCTCTTCAAAGAAGGATAAGAAAAACATATCTTTTGCACTTATGAGTGTTGTTGAAGAAATAACAACCAACAATGCAAAACAACTTCAAACTGATGAAGAAAAGAAACTGAATGGGAGTAAGATCCAAATAGAAGAAACTTCAGAACATATAGAAAATCACCAGTTAGAAATGGAGAAACGTGCGACTTCAGTCTCCGAAAGATTAAATTGGTCCAATTCACAAGTTCCAGAACTAGAAAATCATAGGGAGAAAATTCAAAAGGAGTTTATTTGGCAAGAAACAAATAATTCAAAAGAAGAAGCACAAATCAAAGAAGACAGGAAATTGATTGCTAGTTGCGATGAGTTGATAGCTTCTGAAGAGTCTTTTGCCAATGTAGATAAGGAAAATGAAATGCTTGAAAATCTAGTGATTCTGGTGAAATCAGTAAACCAAGAACTTGAAGGAAAACTTATTTCTGTTGAATTAACAAAAGACACTTTAAGCTCTAAAATAGATGAACTTGAACCACAGGTCAAAGAACTTTTAAAATGTAAAAATACATTTGAATCTTTAGTTGAAACCCTTGACAAAGAAAAATCTGAATTAGAAAATGCATACCAACAACAGAAATTATTCATTGAAGCTCTTGAAAAAGAGAAAAAAATTCTGGAAACAAAGGTTAGTGAAATTAGTAATGCTTATGAGCAGTCAACAACAAGCTTTGAAATAATACAAGCCAAAAAAATAGAACTAGAGAACATAAAGGAGAGGCTGGAACATGATCTTTTGAACTTGAAACAAGAGAAGGAGGAAATTCAGGACAACTTAAATAACCTGTCTGAAGATAATGCGGTTTTGAACTCAAAATTCACTGATGTAAAACATGAAAAAGAAAGAATAGCTGATAATAGTTCTTTTGTGACTTTTTCTGCCTCTAATTTTTCCTTTAGAACAATATCTTTTTCTTTCTGTAAAACAATCAACTGATCATTATGAAGATCAGAATCTTTTTTACGTGATCCTTGTAAATCATTGATAGTTTTTTGTAATTCTAATAGTTCTTTTTCCAAGGAGATCCTAAAGGACGAGAATAATTCACTTAATTTAACTCTGACACACAAAACTCAATACTTGAAGAGTTGGAATTTAGGAACCAACAACTTGTGAAGGACAAGGAGGCTCTCGAGACAATAGCAAAGCAGTTTGAAAATGAAAAAAAAGAACTAAAAACAAAAACTCAAAATTGTGAAAGTCTGGTGAAAAATTTTGAGATGGAAAATAAGTCTTTGAGTGAGAAAGTTATCCTGTTAGAGGAGCAACAGGCTAAACTGTCATGTCAACTAAAAAACACACAAGAAGAAAAGGAGGAAACAGAAAAGAAATATAAGGATCTGAAGGTAAATAATTTAATCCATAATTTACTGTATGTATGTATGTTGTAAAATCCTACTATATTTTTATAGAAGTTTGTATATTTGTTTGTCCTCTAAGTCCTTGTAGACTTCTGCATTTGGACCCATCAAATATGGCTTAATCAACTATTTTTCTTTTAAAATTCATAGATTTCATAGCTCCAGTACAGGTTAAATATAGGTCTGTCAGTGGGGGTAGCCACTAGAGATACTGATGGGATTTCACCAGTTTCCTCCTTCATTACAGGGGGTATACATACAGTCTGTGTACTTTCAGTAGTTCTTGACATACTTAGGACAAAAATAGAAACATTATTTATATTAATAATTGGTAAAATGTTAATTCTATAATTACATTTCATTTCCAAATTCCCTCAATCATTTGAAGGATTTTTTTTTCAAACATTGTTTTATACACACTTTCAAGATAGACATGCCTATTTTAGGTGAGATGTTTTTAAGTCACTTGTTACTTGGACCTGAAGCATCAATTAAAATACCCTAATGACAACTGAAACACACTCATAAACTCCAAATAGAGGTCTTATAAAATACAAATGTTATTGAATATTTCTTTAAAATGAATTAAAACACACAAACCAGGAGCAGAGTTCATTATATAGTTTATTCGATCAACATTTTGGGTCTAAACTTTTCTACCAGACATAAGTTACAGATCACACAGTAAATAAATGCCTGATCTGCAAGTGAAATGTTGTTTGGTTAAAAAAAAATGACCTTTAGGCAGCCCCACCTATCAGACTGCTCTTATCAGTGCTGCCACATGTTACACAATGGGGATGGCCACAAGGAGAATTTCCAAGGTTAGTGAAACATATGTTAGTATCAAATAAGTTAGAATGCACAAAAGTATCATGGAGCCATAAATTATGGTCGGTTAATAATTTTTAATTTTTTTTATCATGTTGTAAAATGTGAAAATTGGCCATGATGATTTTACTAATCTGTGGAGAGATTTTGAGTTGGTGAGGTATTACAAATAGAATGTTTTCTGTATGTTTCTTCTTCTTCTATGGAAAAAGTTTTTGAAGACATTTAACCCTAAGGCTCCCATGCAGGTTTCATGTACGCGTTACCTAAAGTTCATGAAGATAACATCCAGCTAAGACCCATTTTCTCCAACATTGGTTGCCGTACTTATAAATTGGCTAAATTTCCTTACTTTCAATGAGCTTACAATTAAAGATTCCTCTTTCTTTGTAGAAGAAATTTTTAAAATTACTAATTCTGATCAATATACACTTGCTATTTTCAACATTGAATCTTTATTCACAAACATTCTACTCAAGGAAACCATACAAATAATCTTAAAGAAACTTTTCCCCAACAAAAATTAAATATACGCAAGCTTTAATCACCAACAGTCTCTAGAATTACTTAAACTTGCCCTCAAGAATAATCACTTCAACCAACAGCTATATAACCAAATAGATGGTGTGGCAATGGGGTCACCTTTATGAGTGTTCTTGGTTAGACACCTATCCAGCTGAATACAAACCAGCTCTATATAGAAGGTATGTTGATGGTACATTTTTACTCTTTCGAAGCTCTTCTCATACCAAACAATTCTTGGATTATTTATATTCAAAACACCCTAACATCAATTATACTTGTGAAACTAGAAAAAAAAAATAGTAACTTGCCTTTTCTTGATATCCAAATTAGCAGATTAGACAAACATTTCACAACATCTGTTTATCGTAAAAAAACAAAACACATACAGGCTTATATACTTGATTTAACAGTTTTATTCTGAATTCTTTTAAACATAACTTTATACTCTGTCTTCTCAGTAGAGCTTGTAACATCTGTTCTAACTACCTCTCGCTCTTCATACCGAAATCACCACCTTACAGAACATTCTAATAAACAATGGCTATCCCTTGTATTTTATTCAAGCCCCAACACACAAGTTCCTTTCTCACAAATTTGAACTCTCAAAGAAACCATACACTGTTGACAAATACCCATTAAGACTAATCATTCTTTTTTTAGGTAAGCAAAGTTTCATAGTGAAGTCACAACTTTTAAGAATAATTAAAACATTTTATCCACAAGTTCAACTACAAATTGTATTTAAATCACTTTTTAAAATACAAAATCTATTCAGATCTAAAGACCTATTACCTACCCCCCATGCATTCCAGGATATCATATAAATACACATGTGGTAGCTGTAATGCCACTAACATTGGCAAAACTATAATCCAGTTACACCTGCGATCCTGTGAACATATGGGAGTATCAAGCAGAACAGGTAAAAAAACTATCACAATTCGCACAAATAGTGAAAACAACAACCACCCCATTTTGATTACAAATTTCAAAGTCATCTCATCTGGATCATTCAATACTGAACTTTTAAAGAAAGTTTATCTATTATAACTGAACTCCCAACTTTAAATAATAACACAGCCTTACTACAATTAAATCTGTTCTGAATAACTTGTATAATATTGTTGTATTATCCTATTATTCTTGTTTATTTGGTTGTCTTTTAATTTATTTCATCCTTTTATTCTGTTATTTAATTAATTTTTTTAAAATGTTTAAACTTTAAAAATATTTGTATCTAATAATTTACTCTCTTCAATATAGCTGCTGAAGATGGAATACGTATATTCCGAAACATTCAAGAATTATATGTTACTGTACACACACATGTCAAATGTGTGTTCTTGCTGCTATCTTTCTACTGTTAAACATTAATTAGTTTCTTAATTTAAAAGTAAATATTAAAAAAATCTTAAATATTGATTTTTGTTTGTCGCATAATATGTTGGTTCAAGTTAGGTGTATTTAGCGAAGTAAACAGTGACCCCGCCCACTTCTTCCCTTTTTGTAAATGCTTCCTCATTTACACCCGCTTTGCTTCTTCGTGGCTTTAGAACCAACCAAAAACTTAGAATTTCCCCCATGTGGTTTTCTCAGGCTCTTGAAGATGGAAAGTTTCCAAGATTATTTCATTTATCTCAAATCTCAGAAGGTAGTGGTAAGTGAAAATGTTGTTCAAAAAACAATTTTTTGAGACCCAAATACAGTTTAGTTAGTAAGCCTGATAAATTACAGTGAAATTCTGATATATCGATAGAGTAATTTTTAATTTGTAATTTCAAAATGTATATATAAAACCTAAAAAAGGTATTTTGTTTTACCTACCTCATTTGAGAACTTCAGCAAGCAAGGTATGGTATGCCATATATGTTTGTATATGGCAAATGAGTACAAATTTCTTTACAATCCTAAGCAGTAGAGATAAGTGTTTGTGTTTTCTTGTTATAATTTTTAGACATTCTAGAAAGAAAAAGCATAATTTCTATCTATTTCCAAATTTTTTATAGTGGTTATGAGGTCTATCAAATTGATGAAACCCATACAGAGATACAGTAGTGAATATAACAGATAAAATGTAGTTTTTTCTAAAAAAATGTTTGATAATTATCTTGAGGTTATTAGGTGGTTATAAAGATTTTGTATGTGAAATTTAAAAATTTTCTTATGCATGTTGAATAGTCAACATTTGAAAAGAAAAATGCACGAACAAATCATTACTTAAAATCTTAAACTTAATTTAAAAAATTTTATATTTTGTGTACAAAGCCTTGTACTGTTTACTGATAATCTGCAAAATTTCGGTAAGATGCGCATTCTGTATTAGAAGTTATAGCATGAAAACTGTAACAAGCACAAAAATGGTTACAAGGTCAGTCCCTTGTACCAATCTCATAGTGAGAGAGGGTAACCATGCTCGGAGAAAGAAACAGCTGATTCATTAACCTTATTGAAGAAATCATTTATCACTGGAAAGACATTTGAGATAAATGAATTTTGAATAGGGGGTGGAATCTAGGGTAGGTTTAGGGTAACAGGTATCAAAGTATATGTATAAGTGTGATCTAGTAGGATTGTAGTTAAGTGGTAATTTGCAATAATGATGTCAATATTGAGGAAAGAGACAAAGTTATGAACTTATATAATACAGGTTCATCTGAAGTAGCTCTCATGATGTGATCATTATATCTGGGTGGATACGAAGTTTTCAATCTAACCAACAAACAAATTTCTAGAATAAGGTCCTCCCATTTTTGTTTTATTATGTAAGTAATTATGGTTCCAGGAATATATATTTCTTATACTATACTTAACCTCTAGTTTTCCCTGATTCAGTGCTACGAACTTTTTTGCTTGCCACTAACCTTGAGGCTCCCACCTAATCTTGCATGTTTCCAAGTGATATAGCCATGGTGTTGTGTGAAAGTGAGCATGCAACAACCCTACATTAAGAGGAGAGCAACACCACTTCCTAGTGCAGCTGTTTTCCTCTACACTGATTGTTCAATCATCACTTATTGATTTGGCACTCGTGTGTTCGCACATGTCTTTTTTCAGTTATGTGAGATTCCTCAAAAATATCTATAAAACCAGCTATTGTGGAAATATTTATTTTTATTTCCAAACAATTCTACCTCTGCAGACTATAGCTCTTATTTCCCATAACATGAGTTACACAGAGATGGTTATTTCTATACTGTTTAGTGTTAAACATCTGGACGTTATTCACTCTAGACAGACTACCACAATGACATAGGGGTTTTTTTTGTCTGTCAGGGGATGTGATGGCTATTTTGCAGCAAGTTGTCGAGTCTTGCATCAGGCCTTGAAACAGATTTCTCTCCTCCTATAATTCCCGTCCAAGATGATATGGATTTTAGGCAGTCTTTCCTGCTGCCAACATTTGAAAACAATTTTTCCAGTGGAGACGTGGCTTTACCTTGACATTCTGCATCCTTCTGTGATTTTTCTTCCCAGGTATGTTACCTTTCTTCACTCTCTCTCTCTCCTATTTCTTATTATTCTTTATTTTCCTTCTTCATTTGGCTCTTCTTAATAATATTATATTTTTCCTTCTTCCCCTGATATCCAAGTCCATGCTGAAAATTTTATTTGTTTCAGCTTCACTCTGG